TACTACTACTACTACTACTACTACTACTACTACTACTGCTACTACTACTCCTACTTCTCCTACTTCTCCTACTTCTCCTACTACTACTACTACTACTCCTACTACTACTACTACTGCTACTACTACTACTACTACTACTACTACTACTGCTACTACTATTACAACTACTACTACTAGTACTAGTACTACTACTACTACGACGACTACTACTACTTCTCCTACTTCTCCTACTTCTCCTACTACTACTACTACTACTACTACTACTACTACTACTACTACTACTACTACTACTACTACTACTACTACTACTACTACGACTACTACCACTACTACCACTACTACCACTACTACCACTACCACTACTACTACTACTACTACTACCACTACTACTACTGCTACTACTACTACTACTACCACTACTACTACCACTACTACCACTACTACCACTACTACCACTACTACTACTACTACAACAACTACAACTACTACTACTACTACTACTACTACTACTACTACTACCACCACTACCACTCCTACTCCTACTCCTCCTCCTCCTCGTACTCCTACTCCTACTCCTCCTCCTACTCCTACTCCTACTCCTCCTCCTCCTTACTACTACTACTACTACTACTACTACTACTCCTACTACTACTCCTATACTCCCTCCTACTCCTCCTACTACTACTACTACTACTACTACTACTATTACTATTACTACTTGCTACTTACTACTTCTACTACTACTACTACGACTACTCCTACTACTCCTACTACTCCACTACTACTACTACTACTACTACTACTACTACTACTACTACTACTACTACTTCTACTACCACTACCACTCCTACTCCTACTCCTACTTCTACTCCTACTCCTACTCCTCCTCTCCTGCTCCTGCTACTCCTACTCCTCCTTACTACTACTACTACTACTACTACTACTACTACTACTACTACTACTACTACTACTACTACTACTACTACTACTACTACTACTACTACTACTACTGCTACTCCTACTGCTACTACTACTACTACTATTTTACTACTGCTACTACTGCTACTACTACTACTACCACTACTACTACTCCTACTACTACTGGTACTCCTATACTCCTACTCCTACTCCCGACTCCGACTCCTACTACTACTACTACTACTACTACTACAACTACTACTGCTGCTACTACTACTACTACTACTACTACTACTACTACTACTACTACTACTACTACTACTCCCACTACCACTACCACTACCACTACCACGACCACTACCACTACCACTACCACTACTACTACTACTACTACTACTACTACTACTACTACTACTACTACTACTACTACTACTACTACTACTACTACTACACTACTACTACTACTACTACTACTACTACTACTACTGCTACTACTACTACTACTACTACTACGAGTACTTGTACTAGTACTAGTACTAGTAGTAGTAGTAGTACTACTACCACTACTACTACTACTACTACTACTACTACTACTTCTACTACTACTACTACTACTCATACTACTACTACTACTACTACTACTACTACTACTACTGCTACTACTCCTACTACTACTGCTACTACTCCTACTCCTACTCCTACTCCTACTGCTACTGCTACTGGTACTGTACTTACTACTACTTGCAACTCACTACGACTCCACAACCACGCGTGTGTGCGGGTGGTGAGGGGGGGGTGCGGGGGGGGGGGGGGGGGGGGGGGGGGTGGGGGGGGTGGGTGGCTTAAATAGGGTCTATTTGGAAGCTGAGACTCGGGTTTTTAGACTAACCAATGCGTCTCCACGAGAGATTCTTGGAAGCTGAGAGTGGTGTTTTTGTGTGGTAGATACAAAGGAAAGGGCATAAGAAAGTAGCAAAAGGAGCTCCTCAATTCCCTTCCTTATCTCCTATGCTCTTTTCTGTATTCATTGCAACAGGAGAATACAGGAAAAGGGCCTCCATTCCCCTCTTGTTCTTCCTTTCTTGTGTTTTTGTCATTTAAAGAGGAATAGGAGAAGAGAAGGGAAAGAGAAGGAGAGAGGAGAGATAAAAGGAAGACAATTTTAATGGGAATAGCCAAGAAAAGAATAGAAGAGAGATGAACAAAGAAGATGGAGAGACAAAACAAGGCGCAAAGAAAATGGCACAGCGGGATTGGAATCACAAGGCCTCCTCCACCATAACCACTCGAAACGGAATCGCAGGGCAGCGATACGTCACTTTTGGCACGCATACTTCGCGATGATGCTGCAGAAGCCACGCTTGCGTGACAACCGGTGAAACCTGTGCTTTTTGGGAGTCGTCGATTGTAGGTTAAACTCGTCCACGAATTCCATCATGCTCGCCTTCCGCTTGTTCTTCCATACGTGCTGGCGAGCTTCGCAAATCAAATGCCCGACTTCGGGCAATGATATCGAGCTTCCCCACAATCTCCGGAATTGCCTCCGCCCTTTCAAAATGTTCCGGACCTTGGCGATCTCATCCGTCCCCATTACGCCGCCTCCAAAGTGGACACCAGTGCCCAGGCTGCTTGTGGGAAGATCTACCCACGCGCACCCGAGTCGATGGCAGACATCCGTGAGGATTTGCAGCCGCACGAAGGCCCCGACTGAACAGCGTTCCTGCAGCATGCGGTCTGTCAACCTTCGTTTGTACGGGGTCAATTTCGGCAATGCTTTCCAAGCTCGGTACTCCGAGCACCACCGCTTATGTTTGGCCAGACACACTTGTCCACTGCTGTACCCGTAGACTCTGTATGGCAGCGTCTTGCGGGGCACGGGGCCCGTAGGCAAGTTGCCTTTGGTCCGGAAACGCGATGATGTTACACAGATTGCCCGGCACCGGAAAGATTCACGAATGAAGTTGCTCACACCATCGGAATCAGACTTATTCTTGATCTTGGCGGAAGAGGACAGCAGCTTGAAGAGCTTGTCATCCTTCTTCGAAACGTTCGCCCACGGTTGCTGGACGCGCTTCTTTTGCTGCAACCGCGTGCAGATCTCTCCCATCACCACAGTGTCTTGCCCAGTGCAGATGTTCAGCAATGTTTCTTCAAGTTGTTCCCATCTTTGCTTCGCTGCCCGGGCTGCTTGGACCGCTTTGCGGATTTTGGTGTAGCTCTGCAGAACGTCGGCCAAAATGCTCAAACGGGGAATCGTTCGTTTGTGACCCTTCGCCATCAGAGGTAACCCTGGGCGAAACTAATGCTCATTACTGCTCTCGTACGATACGGAAGTTACACATATGGGTCCAAAGCCTGATGAATCGTCGCGAGTTGCCTTACTTCCTCGCTCATCACCATATGAAGTCTCATGAAATGCCAGAAAGTTAGATGCAAGCAATGATGAAACTGTCCGAATTTTGGGCCGTTGACTTGCAGCGGCAAGCATTGGTTGACCGGTCGCAAACCAATGCGTCTCCACGAGAGTATTCTTGGAAGCTGAGAGTGGTGTTTTTGTGTGGTAGATACAAAGGAAAGGGCATAAGAAAGTAGCGAAAGGAGCTCCTCAATTCCCTTCCTTATCTCCTATGCTCTTTTCTGTATTCATTGCAACAGGAGAATACAGGAAAAGGGCCTCCATTCCCCTCTTGTTCTTCCTTTCTTGTGTTTTTGTCATTTAAAGAGGAACAGGAGAAGAGAAGGGAAAGAGAAGGAGAGAGGAGAGATAAAAGGAAGACAATTTTAATGGGAATAGCCAAGAAAAGAATAGAAGAGAGATGAACAAAGAAGATGGAGAGACAAAACAAGGCGATTAGAGCAGCAAGCAGTAACAAGTACGCGACCGCGCAACACCACTTCCTTTCTTGTCTCGGACCAAGATCCCCAGAAGTCCTTCGAGCGCTCTCATTGGCATTTCACCACTGACGATTACAGCAGCAAGCAGCAACGAGTACGCGACCGCGCAACACCGCTTCCTTTCTAGTCTCGGAACAAGATCCCCCAAAAGTCCTTCGAGCGATCTCATTGGCATTTCACCCGCGCAGGACCCTGCTAGAACCCAAATGCTGCTCCGCAAGACTGACTATCGAACAGTCCATGCCACTTCCCTTCTTGTCTCGGAACAAGTTCCCGCATAAATGAGCACTGACGATTAAAGCAGCAAGCAGCAACGAGTACGCGACCGCGCACGACCGCTTCCTTTCTAGTCTCGGAACAAGATCCCCCAGAAGTCCTTCGAGCGATCTCATTGGCATTTCACCCGCGCATGAACCTCCTAGAACCCAATTCCTGCTCCGCAAGACTGACTGTATCCTCTAGTCGCTGCTTCGACCAATCTTATTTTTGCACGGTACCTGCTGTGTGCTGCTGAGACACGGAGCTGCAGCAAAGGCCTGCCGGCACGAGTAGCATTCATAGGACGCTCGTGATATCTACCGGTGTAACTTTTCACTCGGCAACAGTGTGCTGCGTTCTTGCTTTGCATGAGAACCTTCGGGAATGTGCGTCTTCGAATATGCCTTTTTCTTCTGCGACAGCGTGATCGGGAAATGCACAGCTTACCTCTACACCTGCTTGAATTTCCGCCCTGGCCTGATCAACGGCCTGAGATTTCTCAGACGAAAAGGTGTGCGTCTCGTTGGACGACTTTTGGGCAGAGGCGGGGCTGCTGATTTCTTGGTTTTCAAGGCTGGCTTGGGACGAGCTTCCGTGTCCCTTTTCCGTATTGCCTCCCGCACTGCCTGGCCTTGCTTGAGGACCTGGAGCTGAGCTCGCCTTGGAGCAGATCCTGGCACCGTCAACTCCTTGCACCAAGCTTTCCACGCAGGGCTCGGGAGAATGACTTTGACGTTGGCCTTCAAGGCTCGTCTCGTCATCTCCGCTTGGCTCGCCTGCCTTTGCAGAGGCCTGTAGAGGGCCTGGTTATGAGTGAACACCTTCACAAATTGGAAGAAGTCAAGCTTCATCACTAAAGTAGCCTTGTGCAGGGCAGCCTCGAAATGCGCACGCAAGACTCTCACAAGGGCACTTTGCGACAAATGAACTTAGGACAGGTGCAACCAAGTTGCTGTCTCCCGGAACCAGTGGTTGATCTCGTGATGGAGGCTCTCGTTGGATGTGGTTCCGCTGGGCAGAAGCACCAAGGATTCTCGCTCCACCGAGTGGCGATAGCGAGTGTCGTTGAGCAGCCATTGGACTTTTGTCTGCGAGGCCATGTTCAGGATCAGCCGATGTAAAGAGACTCCCGAATATGTGATTTTCTGCACCTCGTCATAGAACAGAGAAAGGTGAGCATGGACTGCCTCAAGGAACCCGATCTCGGTGAGCCAGGGCTGATCAGGGTCCACAGTCTCGAGGTGCTCATATGCCTCTCGGGCAGACATGTCTGGCGCTTCTAGACGCTCTCGCATGGCTCGGACATCTGCGCTGGAAGAAGGTAAAACCTGCCCAGTGTAGAAGGGCCCCCAGGACGCAGCTGTGCGGACAGGGTGTCTTTTGCGAAACTTGTCCATCAGAAGTGCAAGCCATCGACTCCCCTGTGTCTTTTTATTGTTCATATTTTGTTGATACACCATCACGATGTGCATGGCATCGAGGGAGATGCTGCACAGGTTGGGCAGCACGCCTTTCAAGACTCGGAACATCTCTGCCGATGGTGCATCAGAGGCAACATGAACAACCTGGGCTCGATGATCCGCGGGCAAAGTGCTGGATGGAGTTTCGGCCACGACCGTTGCCTTCTCGGACCGGACGACTCTGATGAGCACAGCTGCCCCTGTGCGGCCACGACAGGTTAGTGTGCGGTAACCTGCGCTGGCTTCAGGTATGGCAGCAGTAGCCCGAGAGGACTGCGATGCGTGAAAGTCCGCCTGTCCAATTACCTTCAGGTTGATCTTGAAGGTAGCATCAACACTGAGGTACCGGAACTCGTCATGCGCTCTGCAGTCCTCCAGCAGACGCTGACGGAATTCATGGAATGGAGGTGCCTGCATCAAATCCTCGAGGACATTTGTCCAAAAGCCGTTGGTGGCTCGAGGTATGATGGAAGAAAGCTGGCCATCATGGCGCGTGCAGGCTCCCAGAAATGCAGAATATATTTTCTGAAGGGAACCATTCCCTGCAGCTGCCGCCTGCAGAAAAGCGCAGGCAAAATCATACGTGTAGTAAAAATTGCCAACACGTCGCAGGTCCTTGCTTGACTTGATGCAATGCAAGGCCATGATGCGGGGACCGTTCGCATCTAGGACGTACCTGACAGTCTTGTCGATGTGAACATTTGTTGTCGGTACAGGAGGCTTTACGTCGGCCCTCATGATGGCTGCCGACCGTCTCAGGAAGCCTGCACTCATGGCTCCACCCGCGATTGCATCGTGGTCATACAAAGCAATGGCTATTCGCAGCTGCTTGGTGCCAGATGGACAATACCTCTTTGCCTCTTTGTGCTGCGAAATCAGGTGCCGCCGAAGGTTTGCTCTTTTTTCGAAACGTCGCCAAGGACAGCACGGGCATACGCTGGAAAGGAAGGTGGTGTTGCTTTGAGAGTCTACGGCGCGGAGAGCTTCGTTCACTTCTTCCTGCAGCAGCCTTCTGAGTTCCTCGCCCACGTTGACCTCCCCCTCGTTGCGCGAGCCCTCCCCTGGCTCTCCATCCATGGCAGCAGCGGGTCGTTTTCTACTGCTGCTGGCAACAGACGCACCTGCAAGCAAATCAAGGAAACCTGTGTCCGCGTGGTCCAACTCGGGGTCCTTCTCGACAATCTCGAACAGCATGGTCTCCTTGGTTCCCACGAAGGATTCTATCACCGCGGTAAGCCTCTGCCAAGTTGTCTCAAAGCTCTTGCCTTTGCAGGAAACTCGAATTGCTTCGCCGACAAGAGCCCGGACGCCCAAGCAGCAGGATTGATCCGGAAGCTCCATGTGCAAAAGACAATTCTTCTGGCGAGGTGCTTCCAATTTGCCAGCAGGAAGAAGATATTTTGTGTCAAGTCCATGCCAGTCGGCGTATCGCCGAACGTTTCGAGTTTCGGCCACCGCATTGGCTGGGGACTCCTCTTCCAAGGAAGACACGACACGCTGCAGATCCGCACCGATGAAGACCAAAGCTGGCGGGATGGAGTTCGGGCTTGTGCTCAGCAGGTCTGTGGAAACGCCAAAACACGCGATGTCGGAGAGATGCTCGAAGGCGCTTCGCAGCTTCTCCTCAAAGGCGGGAAGAGTCTTGTCCTTGAGAGTGATGCGAAAAGGAGTCGCACGCGAAACGTGCTCTTGGAGATACTCGATCATGTCGCGTTCCACCTTCTCTTCCACTGCGAGGACGAGAGACTTTGCCACGAGAACTCCGTCGAAATGACAAGAGATATGCCCTGGCAAGTAGTGCATTCGAATACCGTGAAGGATGTGCTGCAGAATGTAATCTTCTGCGGCAGTCCACCAGTACGAGAAGACCGTGGCTTCAGGCCAGCCGGACTTCTTCTGGCCCCTTATCTCCGTGTACAAGTCCGGCAACTGTGTACATGCCAGCCAGCGTAGGGCGCGGCTTTCATCCGAAAGCTCCTGCAGAAATTTCTGTCCGTCCGCAGACAACCGGGAATTCTTGTCCATGCTAGCGCCATTGGCAGTTTCCAGCAAGAGTTGCTTGCCTTCTGCTTCGGAACAATGTAACTTGTCCTCGCAGACTTTTTTGCGATCGGCAGCCACGGCACGCCAAGCAGGCAAGTCGAGATCTGGCACCACGAGCGCATCCACCAGCTGAACTACGATGTTGAACATGCTGGCGTGCAAGTCTAAGTCTCGCGTCGACGGACAGCAGACGGCCCTCGCCAGCCGGGAGCATGACTGTGCCCCTCTTTGCTTGACGAAACGACGAGATCTTTCCTTCCTGGAGTAGAAGTACTCCCGCTGTACAGCAACCACTCCATCAGCAGATTGTTCCCCCGCTTCCGCCAAGGTCTTGATCTCTTCGAAAAAGTCCGCGTCCTTATCTTGCATAATGGCCAACTCCTCCCCAAGCTTCACATCACTGTCATGCTCGTTTACCTGCTTTCGCTTGATCCCTTTTTTCTTGCTGTCGCCAGCCTTCCGCTGCTTGTAACTTTTGGCTAGTGTCTTGAGGTTGAGCATGCGAGAAGCTTCCGGGGCTAGGCGCTGCCGCATCTGGGTCATGCTGAACTCCTCCGTGAAACACATGTTTTCATCTGGGCCCAACGGAATGACCTCTCCCAAGGCTTTTTGCGCCGAAATCCGCGGGAGATATATGGTCGTCTGCCCGGCTTTCTGCAGAACCGTTGACAGGGAAAGAAGCCGGCCATCTCCTTCCAGCTTGTCCAGAATGTCTTGCGCATTCTTCCGGTCGAAGGTCAGAAAGGTGCGGGTTCTGCAATTTTTCACTTGAGCTGCAGTGAAAAAATCTTTGCGATCTTGCACGAGCCAGCCTTGGATTTCCTCCATAGTCCGGTCTTGCTCACTTCTCCGTGCTTTTTGCACACGCTCGACCTCGTCCACGGGCTGCGGCGGTTCAGCAGCTGCGAGAACTACCTCGATGGGATCCACAAGAGATGCTTCGGACACGGCCAGACCACAACTGCTACGAACAGCAATGCTGGTAAGGCCTTCATCCCCTCCATGGACGTACCTTTCCAACATATCTCGGCAGTCTGCAGCAGTGTAACGCCGGGCAAAATTGCAGACAGAACGCAAGGTCACGACACAGGCAGGATTGTCTCGTAGAGCGTCCTTCAGAGTCGGATCCCTGGCGAAGATGCCCTTCTCGGCAGCTCTGTCTTCTTGACCATGAATACGAGCTGCATCCACGAAAGTTGCCTTGTACCGACACACTGCGGTCCGACGGAAGATGGAGGGCAAGTTTTCCTCCGTCACGCCAACGAACCTCCGCGAGAACAGGCTCACAGGGAACAAGTGCAAAGAAAAAGACGACGTGACTGATCAAGTCAGGAACATGTGTCCACGCATAATGAGGAAGCTATGTCCTCTATCATTGCAGAAGCACACAAAGCGCAGCTTAACATTTTGGACGAGAAGCTTAGGATAGGCATTCATTTCGAAGCGCTTCCACCCACGCAATTCGACCAGCGAAGTGTCGATGGAATATGGAAGTCGCTCCGGAACCTTGTCTGCGGAGATGTGTTTTTTGTAGATGTCCTCCCGCATAGACTTGCGGGAGCCTTGCACGCTTTCCTGTCCCGTGACGACAATCTTTCCCACGAGTCGCGCGGCCTGCTTCCGCATCTCCTGCCAACAGAGCGAAGGTGATTCTGACCTATATGAAACACACGCTTCCCATGCACGCGCAAGCCGTCTCTCTCATGAGATGACTAGAACGTGCCTCGCCTCGTCAACGAAGTAAATGTTCATGTCGAGACAGGAATGGTAGTTCCCCAGGAGAGCTTCCAGATGTGCAGTCTGCAAACTCTGGCCGACCCCGCCGGAGCCGACGCCCCAGAAAGCGCGATCCACATTCTCCCCATGCAGCGCCAGAGTCAGCGAGGCCATGCAGACTTGGAAAGCTCCTGCGTTGCCCCAGTAGGTCGTCTTCCAGAACTTCTCGACTCTGTTCTTGATTTCATTCGAGACAGGATCCAGGATGCGGTGAGGAAGCAGAACATAAAGGCTATTGTCCGGCGACTTGCGCACCGCCATCAAGCCTCCATTCTGCGTAAAAACAAAGCAGCCATCGGTCGTGCAGAAGCCACCCTGCCTGCGGACGTCTCTCGAACACCATGCGACATAGTATTTGATGACGCTGTCATTGAGGAGAGATGTCTGCCTTTGCGCACAGTTCGGGGGGCACTTAAGTCAGTCAGATCAGCACAATAGAAATACTGCGAAATTACGGCAAGGAACAATTTCACATAAAGCTTGCCGATGGTGTTCGCCATGGCCACAGTCCACAAGGTGCACCCGCCACCGCGGTTTTCAGCTTCTGCCTCCTCCTCGTCTTGCCCGAACTTCTTTGCGCGTGTCGGCACTCGGCAGATGGCTGCCCGCGCGCATTCTGCTAGCAGGGCCGGGCAGGACCCATTGTGCTGCTCGAGAAGCCGCTCTGTCTCGGAGAGGATGCTTTCAGTGCGACGCAGGACCTGGGCGCCAAACATCGAGTAGAGGCCCTCCAGGTGCATGAGGAAGCTTTTGCACCGCGCCAGAGTACCTTGCGGTATGACGCCATTGTAGGCTGCCCAGTAGCCGAGCTCCGAGTAAAAAAAGCATTGTCCGTCGTGAGCTCTGATGTGGCGCCCGCAACCTTCGATGAGCTCGAGGAAAAGAACTTCCTCTCGACGGCTGATGTCCAGCAGGCGGAGATTCTGGACAGCTAGAGCACCTTGCACGATTTGCTGAAACTTGGAGCTCCACGTTGCACTTCCGGGGAAAGACTCGACGATGACGCGATTTCGTTGAACTTCTGTCAGGATGTCCCCGTCCTCCACAGGTGCGTCGACTTCTCGCGCGGGAACGATATCGTCCAGGTCTGTTTGCATGAACTCGGACACGGCAATCTCCAGGGCAGATTGCTTTGCCACGAGGTCGGTTCGTGGCCTCTTCGCACTTGGTGTTTCCTGAGGAATCGGCTGCAAGGTCTCCTGTTCTTCCAGCGACTCCTGCATCGCAGCATCCAATTCCTCCTGCACCCTCTGTGAGAACGAATCCGAGCTCACCTGACTTCCTGCCCGGAGATCCTGCATAGTTCGAGCACGCGAGAGATGCAGGCAGGACTGCAAGTCATCCCGTCGCCAGGTCATGAGCCTCTCCATGGCGTCTTCCATAACAGGAACGGAGACGATCAGAGGAGAAAAACCATTGTCCGGATGTAAACAGACGATGCGCAGGTCTGTGACGACGACCTCATAATACCGGCGCAGAATCCAGGCATAAATGTTCAGCTGAACACGATAATGCCAGAGAACTGCATCCGGAACATCCTGCAGCGGATAGTGGAGGTGACGTCCGAAGCTGCAGTCTTTAGAAGAGAGTTGTTTCGTTCTCTTCCAATCGACAAGACAGATGTCATTGCCGCGCACCGCCACAGCGTCGATGGAGCCAGCCAAATCTTCGGCTTCTGCGTAGATGGCCCATTCCGTTCTTCGGAAGGTCCACCCCTCTGCTCGGAAAAGTCGCACGAACTTGAGGAACATGCAGATTTCTGGCGAGGCCACGGGGACAGAGCCTCCGTTGAGAAGGCACTCGCACTTGGCATGCAGCCATGTCCCTTCCGCAGCCGCAACTCTCCGATTGCGCTCCCACTTTGCCAGAATCTGGGAATCTGACAAGGAGGCAGCCGTCGCCAGGTATTCGTACCCAGGGTGCGTCCAGATGAGGTCGCGAAGATGGCGGCACACAGCTGCCACGTCGACCTCCTCAGCAGAAAGGAGACGCTTGACTTCCACGCTGGCCGACGTGTCTCCTTCCAGAAGTCGCTGCAACTCTTGCACCATGTCGGGCGCGACGTACTCAGGACGAGGCCAGTTCTTCCCCCGACGCATAGCTGCCAATGCAGCGGTCGGGTTGAAGCTTTGAGCGAGGGAATGAATGAGTCCAGTGACCGACAGACTGACTCTCTGGCCTCTCCATGTGTACGAGTGATCTGCATCCCTGAAGAGCAGATCCCTGTCCCTCGGGTGCGAGTGCAGAACAGCGAGAACGTCTAGAATGACAACTCCAGCCAGCTTCTCGACGTCGAAAGACGCGGGCGTTCCCACGCAGATGGAACGTGGCCAGGCACCATGTCGCAGACACGCCGGAAGAGCGACCTCAAGTTCAAAGTCTCGCAATGAACAGTGCCCGGGAGTCCTTCGATGGGTGTCATCAACAACGAAGAAGGTTCCTGCTTCCTGAACATTCACGACATCTTGCAGTCTGCGCAGAACTGTGTCCTGCATCGGCTGATCAAATTGCGCCTGTGGGGAGAAATCCTCCGGGTTCGTATCGCACAGAAGCTCTTCAAGGGTCTCCATACGGTCACATAGCTGCTGGAACCCTTGCAAGTCGCTCGCAAAGCGCAAGTATTGTCGCCGCAGTGCATGGAGTCGACGTCTTTCGATTTGTAGCCGTGAAGTCGTGGTGCTCCCGATGGAAGACCCTGCCAACCGGTCCTCCAGGAAGGTTTCTGGAAGGCAGGAGAGACAAACATCCGTGCCTGCCAGGCCGTGCTGCTCGCAGAACCAGTGTTCGCAGTTTTGACAGCACGCTAGGCTTTCCTTGTAGCAATATGCACACGTTGGGTGCCCAAACTCTGCCGAGTACCGAAAAGGGAGATTGGTCACTCGGAAGTCCCTGGCGGACGAGCTCGGCGGAGCCACGCACATTGCTGCAGGACGAAGCCACGGGTCCAGGTTCTGCTCTACAGTCAATGGAACACTGGCAATGCATTTCTGATCCAAAGAGAAGTTCAGAAACTCTCTCTTCCACTCGAGGTGGTACGTGTGCGCGGAGCTGCTAGCCAGGGTGACGTCCTTGCGACCGGGACCGGCAACCCGCTGGCCATCACGGAGCCGGAACTCTACACCGCCATCTGCTGCACGTGGTTTCCGCAACACGATGCAGGTGCTGTTGTCTGGGGTACTGATGTGCTGGACGCGACGAAGGGCCAGCACGAGGAACCGAGATTCCGAAGGAAGAGAAATCTCCAGGGACACCGACCGGCATGTCTGCTTCTCCGACCTCCAATAGGTTATCCTTGTCGAAGACGGAAGATGAACCGGAGACACCACACAAGGAAGATATTCTCCGTTCCCGTGAAGTATGACCCTGTTCCCGAGGACAGACACCGCGTGCAGCAGTTTGTGTGAGCAGGAAAGCACACGAATGCCCTGCGCCCACGCTTGCAGAAGATTGCCGAAGAAACTGCTTTGTCGGAAGCTCGCTCTCAGGTGCTCGCTGAGCTTGAGTTCGACATCGTGCCAGAAATTACCACGTTGGAGAGCTTGTCGGAAGTCAGCATTACAGGTTGCCAAAGAAAGGAAGTCATCTAGGCATCCGAGCCAGGGAGCCTGCAAAGGAGCAATTGTGATAAGCTCCACCGTCCCACCGCGTAAATCGGCCGACGCAAGCAGGAAGTCCGTCCTCACCTCTGCAGGCAAGAAGCAACTGCGGGTCCTGCTGGGCTCGGAGAGTGAATCAGCTGGTCCGAGCAATGAGACTGCTACCTCAGCCCACTGCTGCACATCGCAGTCCTGAAGTGGCAGCATTCCGATCCGATGGCCATCCAGAAAGACTTCCAAGGTTCTGTTCCACCATTGGACCTGCACGAGTCGTTCTGGCAGGACTGCTGGGAGAAATGAGCCACTGGCCCAGATCTTCGGAGAAGCCAATGGCGACGCCCGTCTGCCACCGGCACGCAGACTGCCATTCGTGACTTCGATGTCCGTGGTTGACCTCTAGGCAGCCGTCCTTCTTCCGGAGACCGATGAAGTGATTGCCGACGGTCAGGATGAACTGGCCATCCGCAACCATGGATAGACGACTCCACGTGGTACGAACAACCATCTTCCTCACATGTTCCACACAAAGACAGTAAGGCAGACCACACCGCTCCCGTGAGACTACCGCACGCTCGCTTGCAGCAGACGCTGTCCGAGAGGCCCGAACGCCTCGAGGAAGTTGTTGCCATCACGCATGGCCCAGAAGGGTCCGTCTGCCTGGTAGCCGCACTTGTACCCGTGGGCACGCAGCACGTCTATCAGGCAGACGTCCACATACCTCTTGTTAGCTCCTGCCAGCGGACAATTTCTACGGACTCTCCTCTTTCCTCAAGAAACAGCTCTGCATGCTTTCGAGCCACGCTCGGGGAAGTCGCGCTGGTAGGACTTCTTGTACATGAACATGCCTGCTCGGCATTCTCTGCAAAGAGTTTCACGTCAACTTCGATCCACTGTCCATTCGTTTAAGCCAAGGAGCTCGTGCGCTGCATCGTCCGATTGCACCGCCGGCTCCAAGCCTGTCTTGTGATCGACTTCCACTGCGCAGTAACCTGGGCCCACCATACAATGAAGACATGTTGGCCCCTGCTTCCGTACCACACTCCAGTCCACTGCAAACTTTGTGCAGTCTTTGCCGCTGCGGCGACAGGACGCGCGCCTGTGCGTGGAAGATTCCGAAGGCAGATGCTCTTCGCCAGAGCGTCCCAGCAGCTCAGCCGCCTGCCCAGTCGCGGCACCTGCGTCACAATGTTGGCCCCATGGAAAATGACCTTGCATGCGCGCGCCCTGCCTCTGCCTTGCCGAAACCGTTGTGTCTCCCTGGGTACACAAGCAGCCACTGTCTTACAGCCCTGGCTACGACGCTGTGAACTGCGCTGTCAAGTGGCAAATCGACTTTCTCCTGAACTCCTGCTCGTCCCCCACACTCTCCTTCTGCCCAGCGATCCTCGTGCTCAAGGCAGCACAGCCACGCGCACCATGCCCGACTCAGGTCATGCCTGCATAATGCATGACTGTGTCCCACTGCGTGTACTGCTGTACTCTACATATCCGTGCTAGACTAGCGACACGCGTGCCGCCGCCCCACGGGGAAGCGCTGACCTCTCAGGTCCACATGACAGCAAGAGTCATTCAATCACTAAAGCCTTCCGAGCGCACGGCTTATCCTGCGCGACCGGCAGCTCGAAGTTCTCGAAGGAACTCAAGAATGACCTGCATGCAGCTGCATGCATTTGAGAAATCTCCTTCTGCCCACACGCGACCCTCCCTTGAGCGTGGTGTGTGTCAGACATCCCACTCGTAGACAAGAAGCAGGAATGCATCTGCAACATCCTCTGGCACTGCATCTGGATCCATTTCCTTGTCCATGACATTCCTGGGCTTGCTGACCGACACATATTCGGAATTCCCACGTGCTGCAGACCCCTGAATACAACTTGTCGCCGGCAGCGGTGCCAGTCGGGAGACACATCCGCATCTGCAGCGGCGTCGGCCGGACTCGCGGCCTCCGACCTCGTGCGATTCTTTCCCTGCGGAGAGGCTCCCTACAGAACGCGTGCCGAGCGCGGCACGTGCTTTCAAAAACATTGTCTGCGCCCTCCTCCAAAGCCTGCCTTGGAACACAAGAACGAAGCCACTTTCCGACTGTCCTTGGAACATACACCGACCCGTATGCTCGTCATTCACCTCTCGACTTACGCTGCTGACTCGACACACCAGTGTGTCTGCAACGACGTCGGCCGGACTGGCGGCCTTCGACCTTTCCAGAACATTCCCACCACAAACATTCCGCTAGATCTACCGAAACGAGCGCAACGCTTGCTTGCCACGTTCGGGGCGGCTTCGGACCTGGGCAATACGTATCCCTCGATGCAAACATGTGTCTCCACTTGCCAATATCGCAGCACTGAGCTCGCCCTAAGTGTCCTGCTTGGTCTTCTGCCACTTGCCATGACCGTTCAGCATCCCTGCAGAGACCACGGACATGATTCGACCACTGCGCTACCCAGCCTGTACGACATCTGTCCAGCAATGTCTCAGCCAAATGGTTGCTATACTGCACAGTCGAGTGACAGAATGTCCGCTGCTTCTCCTGCGATCCTGATTTGCAAGCAGAACACGTCCACACAAGCCCGCATCCTTTGCAACTAGTGGCTAAGTCAGAGGAACCGGATGTCGCTTTCCCTTCTGCCCCAGTCCTGCAGTCGCCGTCGACGCTGCAGGAAAACTCGTCACCGCCCTGCACATCCATGTTGCACACGACAGCATGCTGCCACTAAACCTTGCTCATGCACCACCAATCGAACGAACGAAGGAGCAGTGGTGACTTCAGGAGAGCCTGACGACCCGCCACCCCTGGTCAATGATGCCTTGCAGAGTTGTGTGTGTCGATGAATCACACTCTCCAGCTGCGCACTCACACCGACAAAGTCTGCGGGCCGCACGATACTCTGCTGGTTCCTCGCGCTTGCTGCGATCCAGCCTCGGCAACACAGTATTCACTTAGACGCCGCGCGTCGCGTGCCGCTAGTGGAAACTGCCCATCCCTAATCGCGAGTCACTCGAGGTCTTCATCCGCGAACCACTGGCACTTCGAGAATCGCATCATGATCCTGAGGTCCAACGTTGGCACGCTGTCCCTACCAGACTTTAACATCTGACCTGAGTCTCTGGCGTGTGGGCACGAAGGGACAGCGACTGCAACCTTGGCTCCACGACATTCCTCCGATCCCCTTAATCTTGTCCATAAATTCAGGCCAGAAGCAGCAACGAGTGCGTGAGTGCGAAAGCTGCAAAAGGCTGAAGCCGAAACGCCGCATCGTCATGCTCTGTGGGATGCAGATCATGCGTGTGCTCGGGGAAGCCATCGACCCGTGTTATCCTCCGCTTCCACAACCTTTCCGACAGTAACCTACTATTCTCCCGCTTGGACTGTTTTCCTTAAAGGAACGATTCGCCAGTATCACTAGTCCACGTACACTTAGATGCACAGCTTCTGCTAACACGCGCGGGCCTCCTTGGAGTTGACTGCCGAGATCCGGACCTCGCGGCCGCACCAAAGTTCTCCACTTCAGCTCAACCCACTCGTCCGACTTTCAGACGACAGCTCTCCCAAGAACGGTTTTCCATGGACTCAGGGACTTCAGAAATCAACATTTCGTGCTCTTGCCTTCAGGACGGGGTTACGTCGCCAGAAGTAAGCAACTCAGGGACTTCAGAAATCAACATTTCGCGCTCTTGCCTTCAGGACGGTGTTACGTCGCGAGAAGTAAGCATGAAGCCACGAACCCAGAAACAAAGCTGAATACAACCATGTCTTGCTTCCTCTACGTAAGACTCTCCACCGCATAACATTTCCTTGCAACCACCTGCACAAAGCGCATGTGCAATCTCTCACGGGCAAAGCAAACGAGCCGGGATACCAACTCTAAAGCGCCAATGTCTGCGTGATATCACTAGTCCACGTACACTTCGGTCCACAGCTTCTGCTAACACGCGCGGACTTCCTTGGAATTGACTGACGAGATCTGGACCTCGCGGCCGCACCAAAGTTTTCCACTTCAGCTCAACCCACTCGTCCTACCTTCAGACAACAGCTCTCCCAAGAACGGCTTTCCATGGACTCAGGGACTTCAGAAATCAACATTTCGTGTCTTGCCTTCAGGACGGGGTTACGTCGCCAGAAGTAAGCAACTCAGGGACTTCAGAAATCAACATTTCGCGCTCTTGCCTTCAGGACGGCGCTACGTCGCGAGAAGTAAGCATGAAGCCACGACCCCAGAAACAGAGGTGAATACAACCATGTCTTGCTTCCTCTACGTAAGACTCTCCACCGCATAACATTTCCTTGCAACCACCTGCACAAACAGCCTGTGGACTCTTTCAGCTCAACCCACTCGTCCTACCTTCAGACGACAGCTCTCCCAAGAACAGCTTTCCATGGACTCAGGGACTTCAGAAATCAACATTTCGTGCTCTTGCCTTCAGGACGGGGTTACGTCGCCAGAAGTAAGCAACTCAGGGACTTCAGAAATCAACATTTCGCGCTCTTGCCTTCAGGACGGTGTTACGTCACGAGAAATAAGCATGAAGCCACGAACCCAGAAACAGAGGTGAATACAACCATGTCTTGCTTCCTCTACGTAAGACTCTCCACCGCATAACATTTCCTTGCAACCACCTGCACAAACAGCCTGTGGAATCTCTCACGGGCAAAGCACAGCGAGCCAGTAGACCAACTCTCAAGCGCCAATGTCTGCGCGATATCGCTAGTCCACGTACACTTAGGCGCACAGCTTCTGCTAACACGCGCGGGCCTCCTTGGAGTTGACTGACGAGATCCGGCACAGTTTTCCACTTCAGCTCAACCCACACGTCCTATCTTCAGACGACAGCTCTCCCAAGAACGGTTTTCCATAGACTCAGGTACTTCAGAAATCAACATTTCGCGCTCTTGCCTTCAGGACGGTGTTACGTCACGAGAAATAAGCATGAAGCCACGAACCCAGAAACAAAGCTGAATACAACCATGTCTTGCTTCCTCTACGTAAGACTCTCCACCGCATAACATTTCCTTGCAACCACCTGCACAAACAGCCTGTGGAATCTCTCACGGGCAAAGCGCAGCGAGCCAGTAGACCAACTCTCAAGTGCCAATGTCTGCGCGACATCACTAGTCACTAGTCCACGTACACTTACAGGTTCGCAACTTCTGCCAATGCGCGCGGGCCTCGTTGGCGTTGGCTGGCGAGATCCCGACCTCACGGCCG